AACTACGGTGGCGAGACGGTGGCAGTGGAGCCGGGCAAGAAGGAGAACCGGACTCGAGTGGCGCTAGAAGGCTCGGAGATGAATTTCGGAGAGTTTCTGGACAGCTATAACAGCTCAGATGTATACATGGTGGACTCTTTGCCCAAGCCAATGGAACGTAAGTACACATCATGCTACTTTTTTCTCTCGAAATTGGAATGCAAAATTCGAAAAACAATTCCCGAATCTTGCAAGAAAATTCTAAATCTCACCCAAAATGCGAGGAAATTTCGCTTTTTCGCGAATTTTCCTCGCATTCTGCATACATGTACATATACGGCGCCCAGAAGTTGTCATGAATTTTATAACAATAATTATTAATAGTCACTGGTTTGAGGGAAAGACGCAAACGGGAAACGTTTGAAGAAAAAATTGACTGTCACCACCAGGACTCGAACCAGGGACCCTCGCTTGTAGCCAGCGATGCTCTAACCACTGAGCTATGGTGTAGTCGTCATCCCAACAGAGACCGTTCAACATTTTCTTCAGATGTCGTAACTCACACTTCCTGTGAATCCACACATGCGGGTGGGACGCAGCCCTCACTGTAACCCACACACTTCACGTACAAACTAGCACGCGGGGAGCCCCAAGATATTAATAATAATAATTAAGAACTCAGATGAGCCAAGGAAAAAGTATAACATGGAAACATGTGGGCACAAGTTAAACTTAATATGCAATCGAATCCACCAACTAAACCGGAGTTGTCAGTTTTGTGCTAGATTGTGCATGTCTGACTGTTCAAAATCTGGTTTAGTCGGTGGACTCGACCGCATAACTTGTGCCCATATTTTTCCATTTTACAATAATAATAATGTCGCTTTTGTTAGTTACATGTACTCCATTGTAAGTGATTCGGCTTACTGCTCTGTATGCATGTATGGTACCGGTATATGCCGGGTCTACACGTAGAGAGTGCACTTCTACACGTCTTCTCAATGTGTCCACTCCGGATGGCCTGGCAGTGATATTGAAAGAGCACAGCTGATTGCTTGCAGAATCATACCTTTCAAGCTACTGCGGAGCCTGTCTACAGGCCTGATAAACAGCCGCTTGGCTAAGTTGGCATGCATTCACTGATCCCGACACTACCTCACTTAGGATGATCAGCTCATGGGAATATGCAAGTATGCGAACGTATTTAGAAGCATTTTGGATCCAAGCTGACAAGCTCTGGCATGTACATTTCATGTAGTTGTTCTTGCCCATCCTGTCTGCACTGCGCAGAGGAGTTTACTTAACTGTTCTTGCCCATCCTGTCTGCACTGTGCAGAGAAGTTCATGTAACTGTTCTTGCCCATCCTGTCTGGACTGCGCAGAGGAGTTCATGTTGCTGCACAACGTACTGTGTGGTGGATACACCAAGTTCGTATCGATGACCAACGTCTGGTTCAGCAGCGGTGGTACAAAGTCCGTCTTGCACAACGATGACGCCGACAACATCAACTGTGTGCTGAGCGGGAACAAGGAGTTCTTCATGGCGCATAAGGTACAGTAACACTTTGCTGAGACGGGCTTCTGACGTTGTGTATTGCCCAGCTGAATTTGAAGAACTTCGAAGTAGATAAAAATTAGGGGGGGGGGGGGGGGGGGAGATGGGATTGTGCTTTGTATGAGTCAAATGCTGAGTTTGGCTTTAAAGTTTACTTTTCGAACTGGACTTCAATTTGACTTTAAAAAGTGGTATTGCTACACGGTGCCCCCCCCCCCCCCCCTCTCCTCCCCCAGTGTGAGCCTATAGCATACTGTGTCTCTTGAACTGCTGCAGAAATACGAAACTGTGGTGCCATTCACAAAGGGTGGTCACGTGGATATCGATGTGGATGCTGTGGACTTGATCAAGACCCCGGAAATCAGGAAGGTGAAATGGTGGCTGGCTGAAATCGAGGCCGGCGATTGTCTCTTCATTCCGCACTAGTGAGTTGTGGCTTGTTCGCTACATCGTTGTAGTTCATTCAAACATGGACATGTTACGATGGTGCACTCTGCCAGGACATGAATTATTATTAATATTAAAATATTAATTCATTTCCTGGCAGAGTGCACCATCGTAACATGTTTTATCTGCTTAACTCCACCACACGATTCTGGTTGTGGCTCTGTATGGTGCTGAGACTTGCATGTTGTGTGGGTCGTCAGCCAAGACTATAGAGACACCGGGAGATTCAGTGACGTAATGGAGTCTCGGTCCGTTGTACACATGGATGCATCAAAATTAGCATTTTGCTGTTTCAAATCTGATTCTCACGATAGCAAGTGGCCAATAAGAGGTACATAGCTCGGAAGATCGGAACCTCAGCCCTGCAAGCACAGTGTTCGGTGTTTGCTGCTGCTGCTGCTGTTGTTGTAGTCGCCGTCGTTGTTGTTGTCATTGTGGTTGTTGTTGTTGTTGTGGTTGTTGTTGTTGTTGTTGTTAATGTGGCTGTTGTTGTGGTTGTTGTTGTCATCGTTGTTGTGCATGATCATGTATTGTTATGAAGACACGTGGGTCTCAAGTCAAGCTGCAATGGGAACAGTTTTGTCACGTGCCTAGAAATAGGCTTGTGTACATGTACATGCAGGCCCGCCACAGCCGGGGCGGCTGAGGCCGCCCCACTTTTTCGGCCTTTTTTTGGAGCACATTACAACAAAGCGCGATGATCGCAGCTTAGCGCAAACGTGACAAATCCTTGTCCCCGATCGTGGTTTGTTGCAGAAAAAAGTCTTTCATTGCAGTTACACTGAAATGGCACCAAATGCCTGGAAATGCTTGCAATTGGCTTCAATTTTTGAATTTTTTCCCGGGGGAGGGTAATGTTTGTCCCCGATCGTAGCGTCTTTTTCGTTTGTTGCAGAATCAAAAAGACTTTCATTGTAGTTACCGTACACTGAAATGGCACCAAATACCCGGAAATGCTTGCAAATGGCTTCAATTTTTGAAAATTTTCCCGGGGAGGACCCCGGACCCCCCCCCCCCTCCATGGCCGCCCCACCTCCAAAGTTGGTGCGACGGGCCTGACATGTACAGTGCGTATCGGTTATAGCGTGGTCGTGTAAAAGAATGATACTGCCTACAAGAATGAACTCTCATGTTTTCATAATCATAACATGGATTTCAAGTGCACGTTTATTCTTACAAGCAATTTTATCCCATAGTAGAATATATCGGTCCTAAGAATGGACTTTGTGGAGCGAAACATGCCAGATTAGTACAAAGTGTATCGCCAGTAGTAATAACATCTGTCCAATTCCGTTCTGATCTGACTCTCATTGCATCGTGGTGCTGCAGATTCAACTGTTGTGGTCATGTAACTCATGTTGCATAGCCACATGGTAAGCCTATGGGACTATGACCAGCCACATACACAGAAGTACTGCGTTGCATGTCTTCCTGCCCCTGCGCACATGCATATGATACGCCACACTTGATTTATCGTGTGTAAGAAATATCGGAAATAAGAATAGAAAGTCGTTTTTCAAACACCCACGCTATAACCGATACCTACTGTACATGTCAATATGACATTGTGTACACGTACATGTCAATATGACATTGCGTACATATTACAGTACGTATCGCCTATAAGGTTGGCGGCTATAGTGATCAACTTCTCAAATTCATTTTCATTTGCCTAAGTATACACAGTTACCGCGTATAGTGATAATCGTCTATAGTAATATATCGCCTATAGTGATCAAATTCAATATTCAAAAGACCTCTGCTACATTATTTTAGCATCGGCTAAAGTAATTGATGTGGAATCAAGTGATGTCAGAGGCGAACAGAAAGTTACTTCTTTGTGAAATTTTTGCCCAGTGTTTCGTAAGTTCTACCTGTAGTATTAGTTGTCCAAAATACCTCCATTGTGAGGATATGCTGACGATGTGTGTCAGGAGCCTTGGCTGCATAGGCATGATAGGGTGCATTTCTCGAAGTAGGAGTACCAGGACGTACGCTGCAACCAACTATGCAGTGTGTATGTGCACGGCGCGCTGAGTCGTTTGATACCCCACTCGCATACAGTACATGTACATGCAGTATCGGTCATAGTAATATATCGCTTATAGTGATAAAATGCTCAAAATCAAAGACCAACGCTATAGGCGATACTGACTGTATGTCAATATGACATTGTGTGACGGCTGAGCAATGATTCTAAAGCCCGTAGCTATCCTCAAACACAGTGGCATAATTCCAATTTTGTATGCTATTTTGTATTTTCCTTGCAGCTGGCTTCATCAAGTGCGCTCTACGGGCCGTAATCTGGCCGTGAACATTTGGTGGCATTTCTTCCGCAACTTCAACTACACAGAGTGCATGACAAGGGATGAGAATGGCTTGGAAGTTCGCAAGGATCTACCCCAGTACAAGCCATTTTCAGGAGTAACCATCCACGAAGGAGAGTCGCACAGGTAAACACTGTGCAAACAGTGTCACATCATGGCCATCTGTGTGTGTGTGTGTGTGTGTGTGTGTGTGTGTGTGTGTGTGTGTGTGTGTGTGTGTGTGTGTGCTTGTGTATGTGTGTGTGCGCGCGCTTGTGTGTGTGTGTGCATGTGTGTGTGCTTGTGTGTGTGTGTGTGTATGTGTGTGTGTGCGCGCTTGTGTGTGCGCGCTTGTGTGTGTGCGCTTGTGTGTGTGCGCTTGTGTGTGTGTGTGTGTGTGTGTGTGTCTGCATGTGTGTCTGCATGTGTGTGTGTGTGTGTGTGTGTGTGTGTGTGTGTGTGTGTGTGTGTGTGTGTGTGTGTGTGTGTGTGTGTATGTGTGTGTGTGTGTATGTGTGTGTGTGTGTATGTGTGTATGTACATGGTGGGTATGTGTTTGTGGGTGTGTCTGCATGTGTTTGTGCTTGTGTCTGTGTTTGTGTATGTGTATGTGTGTCTGCATATGTGTGTTTTTGTGAATGTGCGTGTGTGTGTGTGGGGGGGGGGGTATGTATGTACTGGTATGTGTGTAAAGGGGGGGGGGGGGGGTGCTACTCCTGTATGGACGGCTTCCTTCTGTTTGACGAAGGATATAAGGTCTGCGTTGGTGCCTGCGATTTCAGAAAGGACTATCTTGTAATGGCGTCTTTGGAAGTAGTTTTGGTTTCTGTGTTTTTATTGTTCATAGGAAACGTCTGGTGGATGTGATGTACCCTACCAATGCTCACAAACCCAGGAAGCTGACAAAAAAGCAGGTTATGGCTGCTGTGTATGCGGGTGATGAGGATGAAGACGAAGCTGAAAAACTGATTCTCCAGGCCAAGAAGGCTGCTACTGCAATCTTTAACGCCGGAAACAAAAATGGTGACAAGTACCTGGATATCGAGGAGCTGTACACCATCGATGCTGATCTTTTCCTTGAGCTGTTTGGCGCACCCAAAGGTGGCTACAGCCTCGAGGATCTAGGAGTAAAAGATGACCTCGTAGACGATCGGAGGGCAGAGGGTGAGGATGATGGCGGTGATGATGAGGGAGATGAGGGTGAAGGTGATGATGACGCAGATGAGAGTGACAGTGAGGGCGATGAGGATGGCGACAGAACTGACCTTGCTAGCAGCAATCAGGCAAGAGAGTCAGCTGCCAGCAAAGATGACCTTGACATTGATTTTGAGAGGGGTCCCTCTGAGGAAGAATTGAGCCAGCAGCCAAAGGATGAGCTATAGAATTGTATGCTGCAAAGCCCGTTTATCCACACTACTACAACGCTGCTGCTTTGTGCAGAGAGTGTGTGCTGTTTGCTGTTTTTATATGTACAACGTACATGCCCCCCCCCCCCCTCTCTCTCTCTCTCTCTCTCTCTCTCTGTATCTCTCTCTCTTTATTACGGCGTGTGTTGACGGTATTTGTTCTATGCCTTGACTAAGGGGTTACCAAGAAATGTATGTCACGGCTGACAAAATTTGAAATTACTCAAGTACTGATATTTTCATCCCAAATGGCGCTCGTGTGTGGCTTGGTCTCAATCCAGACCTGTACATCATCATCTCAGATTATATTATCGCTGGTTTGAATGTGCTGATTTGATTGGCTGGCTTATCAAACTACCATATTTGCCTACTGCTGTTTAAAAAATATATATATTTAGAGTGTTTTGTAACTGACGGTATGCAAATTCAAAAATGTTTATTTCGAACGGCCTGATTTGAATGTATCCTGCTGGCTGCTGTACATGTACTGGCACTGCTGCTTCAACATGGGATAATATCCTGGTACAGCCATGTACATGTTTTGCGTATGTTCCTGTGAGTGGATTCAGGGGCGTAGATCTACGCAGGGTTCTTCAGAGGGGGTTACATCGGCATGCATGTAACCGTGCGGCGCGTAGATATCACGATTATCGGTACTCTACGCGTATGCACGTGGAGTCCGAAACGAGAATCGGGGGGGAGGGTTCGTCCGCCCCCCTCGAACCCCCCACCCTGGGATTGCGGTATCATGGGTTGAGATGTTACCACCCTGTGTATGCTATTTCAGCTAATACGATTGGGCTAATGTGTAAGTCAGTGTTTGCACATGCCTGGGTCCGTGATGTTCTCATATTCTCTTCTTCCTGCATCATCTTCACAGTCAGTGGGAAGAGAGAAGTACATGTAATTATTACTAATTTAAAGTAATTTTGTATGATAAGAAGGAACGAGTATAAAAAATGCAATGCCTCTATACGAGTCTACGTGCAGCTAACATGTCCTTACTGACTCAGTGACTGTCTTGCATCAGTGTCATAATATTATTATGTCTGAGCTCGAGCTGGTTGAAGTGTTTCACGGTCTCACTCGGGAGACAGCCAGCTAGCGCTAGCGCTAGCCTCGCCCGAATCGCGATAAACACAACATAACACACTTCGAGTCTTCGGTCAGAACTACCTGCACAACTTCAAGTCACAACAAAGACATGGCACACACACTGGTTAGGTCAGTGACTGACCATGACACCGACACGCAAGTCACAACACGGAACACACCTCGCACTGACAGATACCATACACCGCTAGCGCGCGCTGCATGTCCTAGAAAGGCTAGATCTAGGCGCTAGGCGTGTGCAACCGCGCTGCATGGCCATATACTAGTAGTAGTAGCGGACTGAGGTGAGGACGGCCGACCGCACTCCATCCACCCCACAGCTGTACTGTCGCCTGTCGTCGAGTACTGTATCGTGTGAAAATCTCACTACACTGCATGCAAAAATATTCTTGTCCAGGCCCAGGGAGCTAGCTACAGGCTGCCAGCTCATTGACAGTCGGTCTACAGTGTTGCCTGTTCAGCCGCTCGGACTCAAACACAGAAGCAGTAGCGACGAGTTCTAGCCTCGACCAGTTGTTGACGAACCCGCTGAAACTCCTTGTGATTTCTCCTCTCGGCGCTCAAGTCAGGAGTGTTTCACTAGCTACTCTTTAGCCACAACTGCACCGCTGTAGTGCTTTCTATTTCCCATTTTGGCACGAGCGAAATGGTAAGGCAGTTTGGCCAAATTTGTCGCTTATGATTGGAGAAAGTGGATTTGAAGAATGTTTTGGCTTCTCTGTTTATGGTGTTCCATTCTGCTTGTTCGCTGCGAGCACAGTCTGGACTTTCTGACGACCAGCTCGCTGGTAAGTGCTTCCTTCCACTTGCTTTTCCTCAACTGTACCACTGCCTCCTCATCTGCACTGACCTTGTTTCAATGATTGGACATTTGCCCGGATGACTAAGCCAAGAATTTGCCCAATTGCATGCTCGTGTTTTTACTCGGTTGCTTTTTTTTGGTTTTGCGTCACGCAGAGCATCGCGATGCATTCTCGCTGTTTGACAAGAAAGGTGATGGCAAGATTGACCTGAACCAGCTTGGCGATGTCCTGCGCGCTCTCGGTCAGAATCCGAAGACCTCCGAGGTAAAGAAGATGGCCCAGGATGTCGACCCACGAGGTGAGGGCAACATGGAGTTATTTACTGAGTAGGTGGCTTGGGAGGTGTGCGCATACAACTGTGCATGTGAACTTCGGCGTGTGTGATGTGCACTCGTTCATCTGACGGCAGTTGAGGGAACGGTGCGTCTATACTTTTCGTTGGTGGTGTAGAGACTCGAGCGAGTTAGTGAGGATGGAATGGGTCTCTTGTATTGTTGCGAAAGCGGCATGTGGTATGAGTGTGGGCCCTCTAGCTGGAGGTTTGTCGTTTGTTGTTGGAGAGATTCCTCGTTATACGTTTGGCCTTGGGAGGTACGAGGTTGTTTTTTGGGGTGCACAAATCTAGCGTAATCGTCTAGCCAGTTGGTCAACAAATCAAATCTCCCAGCTGCTTTAGGTGATCACGCAGCACGTGCGGTGTGTTGGGACACTTTTTTTAGGGCTTCCGCTCTGGGCTGATTTCTCTGAAGCCGGTGACAGCACCCGCACCCTGCCCATCTCACCCACTCGAGAATGCATGCGTGAGGTAGCCACTGCCGCTGGCATTGCACTGACTACGCACTACCTGTCTGTGTACAATGTCTATGTGTAGTGCCAGTACTGTGCCAGTAGGCACTACACTGTACACAGTCGTCCCTCTCTAATCCGGCACCTTTTGCAACAGCATTTTCTGCTGGATATACAAGGGTGCTGGATTATCAAAATTCTGCCCTCCAACCCGGCCCACCTGTTAACATACATGTTTGTGTCGTACGTATAAACGTAGGGATTTTCTGTGTCAATCCAAGTACTCTAATAATTTCAGAAATTTTCGGTGCTCCATATTTTCGGTATGAGGGCAACTGGCTAGGTTAGGTGAAAAGAAATTTTCGGTACAGAGAAGCAGTTCCCTATTGGATTATGTGTGATAGTGTTTGTTCGGTGTATTGAAATTTTAGTTGTGAAACAGACACACCGAAAGTACCGAAAATAAAAGTACACCGAAAATTTGTGAAATTACAGTACTTTGTGGAATGCATGTCTTCAACACACACTTGGGAATATCCTATGCACTGGCATAGGATATTCCCAAGTGTATGTTACATGTGTTGTGTATGTAACAATGCTCACTGACCGTATGCGATGTACAACTGCTGGATTAGAAAATCGAATTATGTACAGTTTGAGTGATTTGTTGCAGAAAATCGCTGCTGGAGGCGGAATTCAAGTGCCGGATTAAAGCGTAGAAAATGAACTGAAAAAATCCGTTTTTCCAAAAAGTGTGCTGGTTTGCAAGGGTGCTGGATAAACAAGTGCCGGATTAGAGAGGGTCGACTGTATTGTAGTTTAGTAGTGGCACTGCTAGCTTAAACTAACTGTAGTACAATATGTAGCAGTGTTACTTGTAGAAGGGTTTCATTGCATAAACGGATTGTGTATACAATGACTATGCACTAGCATCCCATGTTTTGAGTAAGTAACGTTTGCAGTTGGGTCAAGAAACGTTTGGTGTTCCGAAATAGGCACTACAAGTAAAATTTAATATTGATTAGTTCCACAAATCATTAATCGACTTTTCAACACAAGGTTTACACTGCTGTTGTGTACTGAGTGCACCCTGTAGGTTGTATCCTGCAATAGTCATGGGAGGGGATTCTTGCTGGCTGCTGTTCCACATACCAGTAGCCTGTGTGTATAGAGCTTTTTCAAGGGCGCGGCACCGTGCCCGCCAGCGGCACTCACAACGGCGAACAGGTCACACGTCAAAACGTATCAAAAAGTCTAGGAAATGTGACAGGTTTGTGTCCAACAGCGCTTAGAGCAATTCTGAAGCTTGTTCTTTTTCGCCCAAGCCATGGAAGGGTTCCTGGCATTGGCTCTGACTCACCACGAGTGTCGGACATCAATTTGAGCGCCATCTTAGTGGGTCATTCACTTCCATGTGTCCGTTCCCGTGCAAACTGAAAGTGATGAACTGGGCTTCGCCTGGTCACCAGCGATTCAAACACTAGGCATTTCTCGCACGTGATCCTAAAAAGTGACCGTTGGTCTCTAAGTTGAAAAGGGTCCATACCTGTAGGTGGAAGATGGGAGGAATTGCAGGCCCCAGGACCCTGGCTCTGCCCAACATACTGTGGTTGTGATGTTGTGTCTGTCAAATATCTGATTTCGCTGCCTTGGGGACACAGCTAGATCTTCTTTTTGATACCAGAAGCATCCTTTTCTCTCTTTTTCATTTCAGCCAATATGGCTACTGTACTTCATCCTGGGGATGAGACATGGGCAAGCGTCTTTATGGGCAAAACAATTTACAATGCACTGTGGTGGTGGAGACTAGAAAATATATGAATAATAACAAGTGTGTGCATGTCACAGTGATGTACCAGAATCATATTCACAGCAGCACATCGTCAAAACACGTCGGTGATGGGGCGTTGATCTGATGGACCTGCCAATACTGCGATCCACTAGAGCCTCATTTAGCAGACACCTTACACCTACTCCTAAAGGCGCCATCACGCTGAGGACACATGGGTTCAGTCCTGGAGACTGTTCCCGAATCAAGTTTTAACGTTGATGCCGGTTTGGGGATCAGGATGCATTCAAATTCAGGACAGATGCCCGCGCGGCGATGTCCATGATTGGGAAGTCTCATGGCATTGACCTACTACAGTTGTGGCTAAAGAAATCCTACCCATAAAGTCAAAAGTAGCGTTTCCATTTCAATTAGATCGTGCGCGCTCCAAAAAACTATCCGAGGGTCGCAGGTGCCGCATGAGCGTTGGCGCTGCTTTCGGCACGTGGGTCGGATTTCGTTGGCATCGACCTACAATTACTTGAACTACAACTACATGTACATTGTACTATGTCTATGAACAACAATGACTGTATCTTAGCTGTGACTTTTTTAAATTTTTTTTACAAAGAACACAAACCCGGCTCGAGACAAAAAAATAACAAGAAAGATAACAAAGTTGCATGCAGGGAGAACGAAGAAACGACTAGAACACAGAAGTTGAGGGTTGACAGAACGAAGAAACGACTAGAACACAGAAGTTGAGGGTTGGCAGAACAAACAACTATTGAGTCGGGGCTGACTACTTGTATCCACTAGCGCAGCTGTGTAGGTGGGGCGTTGTGGACTCCTCCGACCAGACGTCTCGGTATCCTTGCACACAACGCGCACCAGGGGGGAGGGGTTAAAAAAGAAAGAAAGAAGAAAGAGTTAGGCCATCAGGTAGTTATGCTAGTCTCAGTGGTGTACACGTCCACGGCAGTCCCACAAGTTTGCTCGAGTAGGTACTTGTACACTGCTACTTTGAAGCGTTGCAGCGCTGCCTTGGATGGGGGAGCGTTCAGGATGGCAGAGGGTAGACTGCGTGATCTCTCTCTCTCTCTCTCTCTCTCTCTCTCTCTCTCTCTCTCTCTCTCTCTCTCTCTTTCTGTTTTTTCTTGGAGTTCTTATTTCTTATAGAAGTAAGGAAAATGAATATGGTGCTCATGTCACACTACATCTCAATGGTTGTGGGTTCTAGTTGTTATTTCATAACGGATATTTTCAAGTGACCTTCATAAATTTAACAATAGTATGAATAATAGTATGGATCGGAAATGACATCAACTTTATTATTTTCTGTGTGTGTGTACCACTACAAACTGCAGGTGCAAAACGGCTAGGATTCGAGGAGTTTCTTCCCATTCTGAATAGCGTGAGGAAGAAGAGCGCCCAGGGAACACAGGAGGAGTTCATTGAAGGCCTGAAGGTCTTTGACCGAGATGGCAATGGAACAGTTAGCTCTGTCGAGCTCCGACATGTCCTCACCAGTCTAGGTACGTGACACTACTTCCTCCGTTAACAAAATACTTCGTGTTTCGTGATGGATATCAAAATGGTCAAAAACAGTTTGTATCGACTGTAAATCCTGCATGAGAACGTGCCTCGCGAGATTCTGACCTGTAGTGTATATATTATACATGGTGTCAAGGGGTCATGTTCGAGCTGCTAAGTTAAGACGCTGAGCCTAAGCTTGAAACAAAGACCTGGTGCCGGAAATGGGCCAAAATCAAGGACTGATGGTCTCATCTACAGACCCTGGCAATGGACTACCACGATGTACCGTATTTTCCCCACTAAATGTACAGTACTTCTATTTTTCAACTTGAGGTGGTCAGACCTGTACTACTATATAATAGACTTTACTAGTATTGGAGACGTGTACTTTTATTGTTTCTGGAAAGATTGACTGCCTGGGTTGGGTGACAAACAACTCGTGATTATGATACTGTAAGGCTGTAAATACATCCAACCATCACCCGGGTAAGAAACAGTGTAGAAAGACACAAAGATGATAAACGTATAAGAAAAACGAGGTAAGGTGGACCCTGGTACCTGTACCCCAGTAATGCCAATCACATCATTCCGGTATGTACTATTATTAGAGACGACACGTGTACTTTTATATTTTTGATCCACACTCAACATGTACTACAATTGGAGACGTACTAGTATTGGAGACGTGTACGTTTAATGGGGAAAATACGGTATGTTAAGCAAAACACATCAAGATTCCTGCCCGCTTCAGTTTCCGAAAGCTGTTGTGGCAGACCCATTCGTAGATATGTGAATTGAAAGTGCTACTGACCACGTTTGTGGTGTCGTTATCTCTGACCTTGAATATTGCTATCTGCTTTCTATCCGACAGGAGAGAAACTAACTGATGAAGAGGTAGACCAACTACTTGTCGGTATGGAGGACGCACAAGGTCAAGTTCAGTATGAAGGTGAGATTTCAAATCCTGGACCCATAAAATTGGAAATACGTTCCAATTGGAAGACATCTGTGTGGATGGCTAATAGCCTAAGTAAACGCCTCGATCCAGGCAGAAACAAAGACGAAAATGAACACAAAGCAATGCTATCGTCATCTCCTAACACGAATGTCGCGCCACCACGACGATCTTACGCTGCGATTCAATTCTCTCTCCAAGTTTTCGTCCTCGGGGCTTCATCAGGGAGTATAAACAAAGCAATGTGTATTGAATAAAAAAAGAGCATGTGGTTTAACAAAAGACAGCGAAACTATGTACAGCACAGATCAGTCAATCCGCATTAGATTAAACTAATAAGTTTCTAGTCGAGAACCACTGGAGAGCATGAGCACGCATGTGCAGAAGTACTGGATCCGAAAACCCAATTGATCACACGCTTGCAGACATGCTGGATCCCAAGACCCAATCGAGCACACGAGTGCAGACATGCGGACTCCCGAAAGACCCAGTAGTGTCAGCAAGAGAGCAGCTCTACACCCAGTCCTGCACACATGGGCCAGTGCTGTGGGGCTCACCACATCGAGTGGTATTCAGCAAGCTCACAGGTAGCAATGTATTAGCAATTGCATCAATAGCAGGTTAGACCGACAAAGACCAGCTGGAGGTGGTTATTATTGCCAGAATGAGGTCATTATCAACTGTCCAACGTTACAGTTGACATCAACAGCTATTTAAAGTACTTGTAGGTCTACTCCTGTATCCGAGTCACTTGTCATAGTTGAAACTATTGCTATTCCCTCGCTGCAGCTGATACTGGATCCAAGTGATGCGTGATTGTAAACAACTGGCAATATATGATTCCGTGTGTATCTGCTGTGTCGTCTTCTATTGCCTTCTTCAGAGTTTGTAAAGACCATCATGGCTGGTTAGAGTGTCGATGAGAGAAGAGACTGGTGAGAGGACGACGCCGGCCTTCGCCGCACACCAGATAGCAGATATTAAGGAGCTCAACCTAAACCTGTATACAGACAGACCCCAGACGCACGCATCCATACACAGAGCATAACATTATCATGCAATATCCTCCATATTGTAGCGCTACTACCCAGGAACAGCCCGCTGCCTACGAATAGCACTCATGCACAAGGTCCGCCGCCAGCCGTGGGCGGTACATCATTGTGCGTTTTGCTGCGGCCATTGTGCCCAACTACATAGTGCCAGACTGTTGTGTACCCTGTCCTCTGTACTCGTACCTCTGGCTGCTGCTGTTGCTGCTGCTGGTAGTGTGCATATTATCCTTTGCTGCATACGTACTAGATATTGGATTCTTCAAAGTAGTTCTAATTATTTACTAGCTACAACGGTGCCAGCCTATAACCGGTATACATGTACATGAATGTATGAAATCCTGCTATAGCTCTGTGATAGCTCTTCTGTTCCTTTCCACCTCTGTACTTGTAAATACACATCAATCTGGATATTGCTTGTTCCAAGGACACCGCAGTACTGAGTTATTGAAAGCCAAAAATCTTGCTTGTTGGGTGAATATTGACTTCAGACAGGGTCCTCTAATTTCAGAAATTTCCGGTGCTCAATATTGTGGACATTGAAATCTGCAAAACGGACCAGCAGTGCTCACTGGCCCGGCTGCAAGGCCAGTGCCCCGTGGCCGCTTGACTTCTCAACGGATTTCAATGTCCGCAACAGTGCTAGTAGTGTACACCCAATCATTTCGTGGGTACTCAAACTCCGGTGCCGCAGAAAAAAGGACTAAAGGAGATTGAAGAATTAGCCAAGTAGAGCTAGCTACATACTAGTAGTCGAGTTACAGACTGGTGACATTGCTAGGGCCTCTCTTTGCATACCTTTCTGGAAACTTTCTTGGCTCTCCAATCGAAGTTGTCGTCGTCGTCACTTGAAGCCGACTCGTCGCTCATTTTCTCCTCCTTGGCGGCCTGGCGGGCAGTGCGTGCTTCCAGTAGTTTCCGTTGCATGACCTCTTGCAGGGTGTCGACTCGTTGAGCAATCGCACTACGTCCAACAAATGCATGGACATGTATCACTATAGGTATCCACTCATTCAAATCTTTACAACATGGTAGATCTGGCTCTAAAGGTGGAGAGATTATGCTGAACGCATTTGCCCCTGCTGCATATGCGTGTGCCTGTGTGTACTCGTACAACCTAAAACAGCCCTTTCGTATGTTCAGCAAATGAAGGTACGCCATGCGTACACCACTTGTAGTTAGTGTCTCCTTTGGACAAAAATAGAAACCCACAGCACTCCGGATACGAGGAGTATTGTCAGTACAAAGCCCATGCTCTGCAACTACGTACTCTCACACACATGGGTCATCTATGCATTTCGGTACAAGCACATGCAGTGCAGACTCCTAATCATCACAACACACCATACCACTGCATGTGGTTCCCAGAACTAGTAGTCGCAAGAACAGTTCCTATTTGGTATTGAAACCCCTCAGTCACACACACCAAAAGAGCATTATTTTTATATCAATCGCATCTCTCACAGTGTCTCGTGCAGCTCCATGTAGTGCCTCTGGTCCTGCGCTTCATCATCATCCTGATCCATCAACACTTCAGACTCCTGCAGGCCATTGCATAAGACCATACAAGAATGCCGGGCAACTGTTATCAACAAGGCAAGCTTACACAGATACACAATACAACCCTACAGCACACAGCTTACGTCATCCTGACCTGAGCAAGGCAGAGGGAACAAGCCATTGGACACAAAAACAAAAAAACAAATGTCACGGTTTGCGTGACACTTGGCTGGAGGCTGAGTTTTCCAAATCAGTAGGAACGCCACCACCCTCTACGGATCAAGGCACAGGTGCAGCTCCTAAGCGGTGGCAGGTGAGTAGATCAGACCCACCACAAAGTAGTCAAAGATCGAAAATCCCATTCGTTGCATCCATGCTTGGACACAAGAGTAACTTTAAAACATCACAGGAAAAGACTAGCTCCACGCAACACAAGAGTAATTCACGTGTATGTAGATCTCCCTCGAAGTAGTACATATCCGTATGAAAATATGTACTTCAAGTGCAGCTTCTGCTTTCTGTTTCCTCCATGCCCATCCGACCCGCCACACACAACAACGAAACTGAACTGAGAGTTCTACATAATTTCTTGACAAGACGGAGACGGACAGACAAGAAGACCGGACACGACGAGGTACCTACCTGATTTGCTTTGAGAATAGCTTGCTGGAACTTTTCGTACTCAGCCACCTGTGGATCAACATACTCAATCTTCCGTGCCTATCCCAGAACAGACAGACAAAAAGAAAAGAAGAAAGGGAATGTAAGTAGGCAACAAGGAGAAGAAACAGAAAGCAGAAGCTGGACAAATACTAGATTTCAAAAGATGGGTCCTTCAGAATCCTCACCCGCGACAACATTCAACCACCAACGGATCAATCTACTTCGAAGTGGCTCCACACGTTTGCAGCACACTCTTTCTGACCGAAGATAACAGCACTGTGCATTCAGGGTATTGCAATGCGTCGGGATTGCTACAGAAAATTGCAGCAAGTGACATAAGCAGAAAAATAAGTGGCAACACGGGTGAGGTGGGTGGGGACGACCTTCAGTAATAATTGGCTTGGGTCTAATCTATATGTATTGCCCATTCAACAGACAACTCACTTTGGCGTCTTGCTTTTTGTCATCGAAAAACCCTTCAGGAAGCTTCTCCTCAATAGGCCTACGGAAACAGAGATGCATAAGATGCAACTGTGAGAGGCATGCACGCACACAGTGAGTCCAAGAAGAGCAGGAACCATCCTCTGCACGAGTGTGAGCAGGACCTGACAGAGCTGCGGCTCCTCTTGCGACCTCTGCACGCAAATGAATACCACATCATCTAGGATTACCGTACGCAGGGCGTGCTCATCATTCCACGCACAGCAATGGCTGGGACCACTGCCACTGGGCTCAAATCAAGGAGGCATGCATGACGTACACAACAAGACATGCATCTCACGGGAAACGGTACGACAACATGGGATTTCCAAGACCAAAAGACTGTGCACACAGAAAGTCTCTGTCTTCCTGCTCCCCACTCTTTCCCCAAAAACATTTATGTTGAATGTTCATAAAGCAACATGATCCACTGAGCACATCCCTGTCTCCCTTACCTAGTATCACTGACTGATGCTGAATCTGCAGCTAGTTGAAAAGCAGGAAACACAGAGAGGCACATACGGTATTTTTTTAGTTTAAATCGAGACGCAGCTTGGACAGTGCAATGTGATTACCGGGTCGCCATTCGTTGGGCAAGCCAATTTTCCTCATGAAGCAGTCATACGTCGCGAGTCCTCAGTCAAACTAGTCCCTGGGTATGTTTCATAGACAAGCACCGACTGTAATATAGTGATATTTTATCACGTCCTCCTTGGAACATACTCGCGTTTCCAAGCAGGACTTAAAACTGCTTCCTTCTGTTTCTCATGCAAGCTAGCATGGCAGGATGGTCTACTCTCTCTCTAAGGCCAAGACTGAGAAATGAATACAAAATAAGTTGGTTACAAAAAGAAATGTTTTCCAGTTGGATACGCACAAAGGGACTACTTGCCTAGTTCACTGTACACCCAGTACTATTCACCCCGCTTGCCCCGAGCCCCGTGAACCGGTATCCATCTGAGCAAGCAGTTTGCACGTTCCCAGGGGTACAGGTCAAGTGTGGATCAGTTGAGTCCTGTTTTGGGAAACGCCTGATTGTGGATGATACAATCTACCGTCAGACAACCCTAGCCAGTCCCATAGCAAGTGGTACAACGTACCACCATCTCATGCATTCATTATCATCAGAAAAATAATGCCATACTATAAGCAGACCTCTACTGACCTTCTGTTGCTGTTTCTGCTGCTGCTGCTGCGTCACTGCTAGATGCCTGCAGAAATAGATAGGAGACATACATGAATGTGCACACATACTTACGCTTACACACTGTATACATATGCCCATCGTTGAAGCGAACAAGCTATGTTAGAACAAACTATGTTAGATATAGCAACGTGTGCTGGGATTACACCATTCAACAGCTTGCAAGGCTGATAAATTGACTGCCACCAATCTTAGCCTGGTCTACATCACACAGCTGATTGAAGTGACTTTTCCTGGCCAGTGAATCCATTATTTTTTTTATTTTTTTTACACACACCACACCACATACTCCGACATGCACTGGTTGTTGGTAACCACCCAGGAGAATGAAAGAATAGTTAGGAGAATGAGACAGAGAAGAAAGACGTGCGCGACCATTATTGTCGGGAATTGAAACCACCGCAACCAATCGAGAACGCGCACACACACACACACACACACACACACGAACAGGCGCCGCATGCACTCCCCCCCCTCCCCCCCCCTCCCCCCCCACACACACACACATCACCTCATCAAGCCGGTCTAGTTACAACATACACATTAGGGGTGAAACGAGTATCTATTTTGACCAATCGATCACTCATTCATAATATTCGATCGAGAATCCGATTATTTGGAGTATTTTATCGAAATTCAAAAGCGCTAGATTTGTGAGTTCTCGACCAATTCGGAAGAAATTACCGTATTTTCCGGGGTATAAGCCGCACTTTTTTTCGCTAAAAATCGGACCAAAATCGCCCCTGCGGCTTATACACCGAATATGCTTGCGCGAATGAATGCTTAGCATACATCAGTATGGATGCTGACGTCATGTGACATGTCATTCGACTCAGCTTCGCGCCTGTGTTGCTATCCCGGCACTTTTACTAGTTTTAGTGCATCAGTGGCAGCGAGACTGAAGATAGTGCAGATGACATGGAGTGATCTGTAGTCAACACAGCAATACACCAACATCTCTGCAGCAACCTGTGGTGCACTAACACTTCATAATCTGATCTAACATGGTATTTAGCTCCATAACCATAATAAATTTGTAGAAAGGCCATTTGTCAATGAGTGTGAAAAATCTTGGTTTGTGGGTGCGGCTTATACTCCGAATACCAACTTTTAGTCAATATTTTGCCTCAAAAAGGGGGTGCGGCTTATACCCCGGTGCGGCTTATACCCCGGAAAATACGGTATCTGTGAACATAGAACAAAAGTCGCCAACGTCTTGTACAGAGTGTAAAGTAACGATTTTCACCCGTACTTACATTATCTCAAAACAAAATAACGTTACTTGCCGTGGTGATCGCATCGTCCAAGTCATAAAATACTGACTCAAAGGCACGAATAATGCATGCATACCAGTCGATGAGCAGTTGTTGTTGTTGTTGTTTGGCTTTATTGACAGTACAACAGGAGTTTTTGAAAAATAGAATGCCAGTACTAAAAAAAAAAAAAACGATCGAGTGCAAAATTTCGAATACTCGCTCGTTTGAGATTTTCGAACGAATACTCGAATATTCGAACTAATCGTTTCACCCCTAATACACATAAAAGAACAATCGTCAGTATGGCATCAGCATTCACCCAGCTTGAAACACGGTTATTCCAGATACAATGTACAACGGTACTCAGGTCTGTACTCACATCAGGAACACTGACAGAGTCACTGCCTTCGACACCGTTATCAAAGAACCCAGCCGGTAGACCTGAAGACGCCCTGAAACGAAAGACGACGCACACGATGAAAGAAAGTCAATGTGCGGTGAATGCAAACACAACCGCACGATAGTATACTAGTAATGCATACATGAAAACAGACATGTGCACCTGACAAAGGATAGAGATGCGTAATGCTCTGGGGGTGCCTTAATGGCAACGCCAGAATGGTGTAAGTCACTACTTCCAAGTATAATTATAGGTCTTGGAATCTACTTGCACAGGCGGCGAGAGAAGCTGTTTCCACTGTGTCATGATCCAAGCTATCACCGGACGGCCTTAGATAGTTAGAATCTCAAAGAACGCCCTAAATTACCAATGCTACCCTGACTAAAGCACAATGCGAGATGAACATAGTCAGTCGAAAACGAGCAAAAACACAATGGCAACTCAAGCACCTACTTAGCTGGTGCCGCTGCTGCTCTTGTTGCTGATGATGATGCCGCCGATGTGCTACTCTCCACTGATTAGGCAACGCACGTCACATACAAACAATGGAAAGAAGAATAGGAGGTGAGAGAAGTGCCAAAAACGCACGTTCCACAAGCAATACAGTCATGTAGATACTAAGTTAGTACACACACAAGGCACTGCACAAGGCACTGCACAAGGCACTGCACAAGGCACTGCACAAGGCACTGCACAAGGCACTGCACAAGGCACTGCACAAGGCACTGCACAAGGCACTGCACAAGGCACTGCACAAGGCACTGCACAAGGCACTGCACAAGGCACTGCACAAGGCACTGCACAAGGCACTGCACAAGGCACTGCACAAGGCACTGCACAAGGCACTGCACAAGGCACTGCACAAGGCACTGCACAAGGCACTGCACAAGGCACTGCACAAGGCACTGCACAAGGCACTGCACAAGGCACTGCACAAGGCACTGCACAAGGCACTGCACAAGGCACTGCACAAGGCACTGCACAAGGCACTGCACAAGGCACTGCACAAGGCACTGCACAAGGCACTGCACAAGGCACTGCACAAGGCACTGCACAAGGCACTGCAACTGAGGGAAGACATGTACAGTGAAACTGGACGACCGCTCAAGGGACCGTCAAAACGTGGTCTCTGTTACCAGGTGGTCTTCTTGTCCAGGGTCATTTGACTGGAATAGCATCCATTGGTCCTGGTAACAGTGGCCGTTTTAGGACAGGTGGTCGCCTTATCGGAGTGGTCGCACTAACAGGTTCTACTGTATACCGTGGAAGAAAACAAGAGGGTGGCAGTGACCTGAAGGAAACAAGAGAGTGGCAGTGACCTGAAGAAAACAAGAGGGTGGCAGTGACCTGAAGACAGCCATAGGGTGGTAGTGACCTGGACCGTAACAAACTGCGAGAGCACCCGACCAACTGGACCCCTCCATGGACGTGTTTGGAGGTGGAGCGGACGAGTGACAGGATTACGTTGTGCAGTCAACCCGTACTGACTTCACTTTCGAGCAGGAGAGAGCTCCACACAAGAAGAGTGGACTGATGCAGGGACAGATAACATTGTGTTGCTCCGGGGCTCTCTGGTTCTTACACAATATGATCTTAGTTGCACTTGGCCAAAAAGTGACCTTTCCCAGGCGGGGTGCTCTTGCGGTACAATGTACTACTAAAAATGCTATACACCAGTGGGTGGGTAGCACAGTCTTTAGAGCTGGTCCGCCCAAATGAAGATGGCCCAGCCAATATGATACTGTACAGATAGGGAGACCTTTACAGCTACTTCTCGAAGTGCGCACACAATGTTACACAGAACAGCATATGGCTGGTTGACTGACAAGTGGTTCTAGGCAAAGTCTGACCAACCAGAAAGGCTGCTAGCCCCCCCCCTGACCGGAATGTGCAACTGTACATGCTATGGCGTGGACAGAGAAATCCACCACGCGTTGCATGCACCATTGTGAGGGGATTACGGAAGCCACTGCCTGCAACTGGCAGTCTGGTACCGTGCTCGTAATGCATGTGGCTTGTGTCTTGCCACACCTCGACGTTAAAAGTGGCATGAACGGCGAAATGTGCACCAACAGCCGCCTTATTGTACACTCTAGTTTGTATACTCTCGGTACAGCACACACACATGTACGTACATGCCCAGAAAACAAAATATGAGGAGACAGGACTGGCCTGAAATGTCTGTAGAAAGTATGTGTAGCACTGTCATGGATAGGCACTGAGCGACATAATTATACCTTTCACACGCTTGCTGGAGCTCTCAGCTTCTGCCGGTGCGCTGTCATCCTCGCTGTCGTCATCATCGCTATAGTCCTGGATAGAAAACACACACGCATACGCACGCACAGACACACACACACGCACACACGCACGCACACACACACACACACACACACACACACACACACACACACACACACACACACGCACGCACGCACGCACACACACACACACACACACGCACGCACACACTGAATAATGAATAGCACTGGACCGCACCTTCTTCTCACCCCATGCAAGTGTGCTAGCAACCAGGGAGTAGTAAACTAGGTGTTTTACTTCTCCCTGCTAGCAACAACATCACCTGAGCATAATGTACAGAGGTTGGACCATGTCGTAAGTGCCAATCACAGGTACTGTAGTCAAATGAGTAGCAACTCAAGCCATCTACTACAGTCTACACAACCAGCCTATCCAATCACAGGGGCATCATTGCTATACAATGACCTACAGGCATGATCATCATAGCACAGTATATAGTGATTCATCACATTGCGTCGACAATCTACACACATCCTATACATAATAATATTGTCAATGCCAGTCAGACAGTCTCTCCAGCGCATTACACTTACATGTACAAGGAGTAAAGGACAGTGATTGATTTCTGGGTGAGAGAAAGAGAGAAAATGATTCGCCCGCAAACACACATACGGCCTAGAAAGTATAAACGCACCTGCACCAGGGCCGTGAATTTCCGCTTGTTTTGGTTCTGAGCCGAAGCCGCCGAGTGTGATGCCTGTGTGAGATGACAGGCAAACAAAGGTGAAGAGCACGGTTATCAGAAAACAGGTACGGGCCGCTTGCTTACTGACCATGTTGCTATGACACCATGACCTGAACGGACGTGCCCAGCTCTCCAAAACATAGTCATGCACAATGTGACATGCATACACGTACACATACATGTTACTGTTGTCACGACGGGTGTCGTGATTCTATTCCAGCTATACACATATGCAAACCAAGTCATCATATTACTACATGTACAGGAGTCGCGATCTGGCTTCACCTTTTTTTCTCCTCGTTTTTTCCCTCTTGCTCATGTTTGAATTTGCCGCGACGCCTTTGTTTCTCCAACCTTACATCATCCACCTACATACAACGTCTTTGTTCGCATCAGCAGGAATGAACCTGCAGGAGTGGTCTTCAAATTCCCCAGAATTTCTCCTGACCGTTGACCGTGTCGACCGGTCCACAACATCACCTCAGCGCTGTCTTGGCCTCCTCTGGTCTCCAGATGGAGGCACACTGGTCATCAACCCAGTTCAAGCTGGCATTCAACTCATCAACACGAAGCGACAGCTTCTGCAGATCATCGCGAAGTGTTTCGACCCGCTTGGGCTCATCACACCTGTAACCGTAGCCGCCAAGATTCTCTTCCAGAGCATTTGGCTCCTGAATCTCGATTGGGACGATCCCCTTCCTCCTGATATCTTGTCCCGCTGGCTCCCGATCACCAGCGACATCGATGCCGCCTGTGCTGCTTTGCTTCCCTGTTTCATCGGCTGTCTGCCAGACGCTGCTGACGTCCAGTACGAGCTTCATGTCTTCGTGGACGCTTCCGAAGCGGCCTGCGCCGCGGCAGCCTACCTACGCATTACAACGTCTCAACATACCAGCGTTCATATCATCTTCAGCAAGTCAAGAGTTGCACCTACTAAGCCGCATACTATTCCCCGTCTGGAACTTCTTGCTGCCGTCATCGGCTCTCGGATGATCACCTTTCTGCGGACCGAGTTACCACTCAACTTCTCTACCACCGTCCTTTGGAGCGACTCATCAACAGTTCTACATTGGCTTCAATCAACCCGACGCCCACCAACATTCGTTCACAACCGAGTCGCCGCCATTCAGTCCGTCCCTGATGTGGCAATCGGCTACATCCGTTCGGCAGACAACCCTGCCGACCTACCGTCCCGTGACATCCCTGCCGCAGCTCTCAAAGCGTCGTCTCTCTGGTGGCACAGCCCCAACTGGCTCCACCGCGCCTATGAAGTACCACCACTGCCGCCTGGGGAGTGTCTTTCAGAGTTTCCGAAACGTTCGGGTGACCGGTGCCTGGTGAACATGTCACAAAACAACAAAAAACCTGATGCATGCAAAGAGGTATTGCCCCCATTTGGCATTGATTGCACTCATTTCTCCTCCCTCGGGTCCTTAGTGCGTGTCTTTGCTCTGTGTCTGCGCTTTGTTTGCAGGTGGCGTGGAGCCAATTCACTGACTGGTCCTGTCACTGTCGAAGAGCAAGAACAAGCCAAGCTCATGTGGATCAAGCACGTGCAGGCATCAGAGTACGCCGATGTCCTCACCGCTCTACGCCAAGGAAAGCAGCAACAGCTCATCCAGCAGCTCAAGCTCTTCCAAGGCCCCGATGACGTCATCCGCTGCTGCGGGCGCTTGGAGAACGCTGACCTAGCAGACAGCGCCAAGTTTCCCGCTCTCCTGCCCCCCGCGCACCACATCACGCTACTTGTCATCCGGCAAGCGCATCAGAAAGTGCTACACAACGGTGTCGCGCAAACGCTCGCGCGAGTCCGCACGGAGTACTGGATACCCACTGGTCGCGCCGCGGCAAAGAAAGCAATACACAGATGTGTGACGTGTAAGCGCGTTCAAGGACTGCCATTTGCGACGCCCGACTTCCCGCAATTGCCAATGGAACGAGTCTCCAGAGCCACTGCGTTCACTAATACCGGCCTGGACTACTTTGGCCCCCTGTACGTCTTCGGGCAAGCAGAGCCACAGAAAGTGTGGGTGGCACTGTTCACATGTATGACGACACGAGCCGTCCATATGGAGTGTGTTGAACACATGACAATGTCTGAGTTCCTGCTAGCGCTCCGGCGCTTCATATCAAGACGTGGCGCACCCCAACTCATTGTGTGCGACAACGCGCCTCAGTTCGCACTGGCGCGAACGACCCTGGACACGGCATTCGAGACGTCGGTGCGAAGTGACGACCTTCAGCACCTTCTGACATCTGCCAGGATACGCTGGCGGTTTATCGTGCCTCTCTCACCCTGGATGGACGGGTTTTATGAACGCATGGTTGGGCTTGCAAAGCGCTGCCTGCGCAAGACCCTCGGCAACGCCCGGCTTCAGTTGTCACAGCTGGTGACGATGCTGAGCGAAGTCGAGGCAGTCCTGAATTCGAGACTGCTGATATACGTCGGTGACGACATCGCGGCTGTGCTGACACCATCGGCATTTCTCTGTCACCGGACTACGACAGCTCTACCACTGCCCTCGCCGGACAATTCGGACGACCCGGAGTACGTTCCGAACGCCACCCCAGCACACGACCTGGTCACCCTGTGGGCAAAGGGTGAGCGCTTGCTGAATGCCTTCTGGCAACAGTGGCGCAATGAGTACTTGCAAGAGTACATAACCCCCCCAGAGTGTGCAACTCCCACATACCCTGCTGTCCCGACAGAATTTCAAGTTGACGTCATTATTTATGACGCAATGCTCCTTGCACCAGTGATTTACAACATGTGTACGGGTGTCAACGCATCACACGTTTTTCTTTGCAATAATTTGTACAGGATCGATCGGCTTTGGTCAACCACAGGTTCCGGATTCGTCTGATAATCCGTGCATTGCATCATCAAAATGACGTCAACTTGAAATTCTGTCGGGACAGCACTGACCCATAGTGGAGTTGCACACTCTGGGGGGTTACTCTTGGTACTTGGCGGAACTGCGTGACCGCCATCAGCGACTTCAACAGCGTGGTAGAGCCACCACAGCGGCTCCAGCAGTCGGCTCAATTGTCTTGCTGGCTGATGACGCACCAAGAGCTACCTGGAGGCTCGCTAGGATTGTTGATCTCCAGGTTAGCGCCGACGGTCACATCCGGTCGGCGACAGTCATCACTGCAGACAAACGCCAGCTGAAACGCCCGTTGCGCCTTCTGTATCCTCTGGAATGCGAGGATGTAGCATCCGCCGCCGAAGCCGCACCCGCTGCCGCAGATACACTCGCCGCCACAGCCGCCACGCCGCCGCCTGGTCGTCCGCAGCGTGCAGCTGCTGCAAGGCAACGCCAGCAACTCCAGCAGCTAATCAACAGCGACAAGTTGTGAAGATGACTTGTTTGCCAGCATCATAGTTAAAATTTGCATTGTCTTTCTCTTTCCATCTATCGTCTCCCAATTTCTTATTTTCATATACATGTACTTGAGTAACTTCGTTCCGTCTTTCTGGGGGGAGTGTCACGACGGGTGTCGTGATTCTATTCCAGCTACTGTATACACATATGCAAACCAAGTCATCATAATTATTACTACATGTACAGGAGTCGCGATCTGGCTTCACCTTTTTTTCTCCTCGTTTTTCCCTCTTGCTCATGTTTGAATTTGCCGCGACGCCTTTGTTTCTTCAACCTTACATCATCCACTTACATACGTAGTACCTCGCGAGTTCACCATTCTGGGCTCACACCCAGACCACCGCGTGTCGACCACGACATGACATCCATCTTGTTCTTTTCTGTTGAGTTACTCTTTTTCCGTTTTCACCTTGGGGCAACAGCGAGTTCTCGCTCGTGCCATATCACTTCAAAGAAATGGAAACTGAATGACACAGAACAACAAGACACAAGGCTAGTAGTCGGTTGCAACTCTGAGTTTCATGCTGTGTACCATGCTCTGCCTCCCGCGGTATTGAGGACTCTCAGCACACCGGATGCATCCTCCGGTGTACATATTACTGTGATGCACAATACTCGCCAAACAAAATCCGGCCAGTGCTGCACAGTGCACTACGGCGCATGCAGCATAGGCCGGATTTTTCCGGGCAAATATTGTACAAATGCTGCATCCTTGAGAGACCAGCAGCACGCTTACCCCATTATCCCCTGCTACTGATCGAGCTGGCGCCTGCCGATTGTCCGGTGCACGAGCAGATGAAGATCCCACCGCCGATGCCGGTGCACTACCCGTAGCAGATCTGCTGCGCAAGGCTTGCAATTGCTGCGAGTGATACACATGACAGTCCAAACAGAAAACACCGTTTAATAGCTAAAGCAGTCACTGTGAGCAATGATTCCTGCCATACATCAGGTGATGAGCTCATAAATTCATAATATTCTGTAAAATCAACAAGTATTCGGTGCATATTTTGAGGCCTAAAATTTGTTGCAGCTGAAATATTTTGTTTGCAAGGTAGAAGGTACAGTGTGACAGAGTATACAGAGTATTTTTACTTTCACAGGCTGACCTTTTCATGCGGTCAAAAAGTGATTTAGCCCTCAGAGGCAGATCGCTTTGTGCGTATTTTTTCGGTGGCTTTGGGGCATCATGCATATGGAAACGCGCCGAAAAGGAAATTCCAACACGTACTTTTCAGTGTGCATTGCGTACTGGTTTGCATGCCAGTCACTTCGACTGGCGAGGTCAAAAATTAGCACTCGAAGGCGTCGCCCGGCCTAAAAATATTACAAGTAAAATACGACGTGTATTGCTATTTCGTATGAAAGTCTGACAGCACGTGTACAGTAAAACCTGTCAAGGCGACCACCCGGATTATGCAACCACCCGGATTATGCAACCACCCGGATTATGCAACCACCTGTCCTAGAAGACCACTGGCACTGCAGCCAGGACCAAGGGATGCTATGTCCAATCAAACGACCCTGGATAAGCAGACCACCTGGTAACAGAGGCCTAGTTTTGAAGGTCCCTTGAGCGGTCGTCTTGTGGACAGGTTACACTGTAGACAAGCACGGACCGCAAACGTACTGCGTACACGCGCCGGTAATGAACACAGCTGTACAGTATACTACGGCAAAGACTAAATTATTATCGTACACGGAATAAACTAAGACATCTTTTTCACTGGCCTGGCAAAGCGCAACCATCGCTGGTCCCTGCCTGCACGCTGCTACACCAAACAGTAAACGCACACCCATGATGCTATCGACTACTGTAGCAGTACGGTACCTGCTTGTGGGCACGGCCTTGGACATGGGCTGTCCAGACAAGATTGCTCTTCACCGGCGTGTTGCACAGCACACAGAACAGCTCACCGGCTGGCGAGTACCTGCACACACACAAAACAAATCCAACAGGTCATAGATGATTGTGCAACTGGTGCGCGGTGTTCGTGCAAATCGAGTTTTCACTTGCCGAGGCCTCTTTATCATGTACCCAAATCGAAAATGCTTTCGGTGGCGTGCTGCTTTTTCGGCAATGTTTCAGCTGGTGCAGTGCCGTGAACTAACGTTTTCATGACCACTGGGGCTGGGATGCACAGGAAAAGCAACTTCTTAATTTTGTTCAGGCTGAAAGTCTAACTTTCTCCTGTCTTACTCCAGTGTCAAGAACTGGAAAGAATCAATCCAAGGCCATTGTCCGAGGACCTGTGCAGATAAACTGGGGTTGTCTCAGATCGCTCCTGGTCTATAACAAAAACAATAGAGAAGCTCAACTCTTTCCGAATGGACTCCAATGGTCTATACATAATTCTCAGTAGTTGATTGGAGAATCAGCATAACAGTTGCCCCCAATTATTAAACCCAAAAATTCAAGCAACAAGAAGTAAGGAAAGGGTTTTCTCCCCACACTGGAGCTCGCGCTATTCCGCCGACTTGACTTGACACTTGACTGACTCACGACTGCCATCCAGAGCACACGAGCAGTCCACCGAGCCTTCGACTCGGCAAACCTGCAAGAAAGCACCACTCGGACTTCTCGTGTGCTCTGGATGGCAGTCGTGAGTCAGTCAAGTGTCGAGTCAAGTCGGTGGAATAGCGTGAGCTCCAGTGTGGGGAGCAAGCCCTTTCCTAACAATCATAGCCTAAGTCGCTACCACTATTTCGAACAAGAAGTATTAAAGGAGAAAATTAATGTGCTACAGTACTGTCGGTTGCCGAAGAACTGGGGGAGGGGTCAGCCTCCTAGCCTAGACCGTTCTTATTTTCATGTTTTACAGTCTATGCACAGTTGAGTCACTGTGTATACATTGGTATGCTGTGCTTGGTGAAATTCTAGGCTGGTCGTTCTTCGGCGCTCCGTTCTTCGGCGCCCGACAGTAGTACTGTATATCAGGACTCGGCTAGCATTCGCTTTGCTAAGAGCTGCCATAATGTGCATCCGTGGCTCCCGCTCGGCAACCACCGTCCAGTCAATGCACTCCGAGAGTTGGCTGTTGTGGAAGGGCATATGTAAGGCGTTGTTTGTCTTACTGAGTAGTTATTGTATTTTAATTGTATTTTAATCTGTATTAGGTGCTGCTGTAGTAAGTAGTTGTCGAGTGGTATTACATCACATACATAGTGTCACTCACACATTGTTTTTGCTTTTGGGTAACATATTTTTCCTATTCTGGTTTTCTGGGTTTGCATTTGTATGGCATTTTCATACACTGTGTTTCTTTTGCCCGTAAAAGAGGCTTGGGGAAATTTTCAAGCTACAGAATGCACATTTATTTATTATCTTGAATACGAAACGCAGCGCGATGGGGAGAACGATTAGCGAAAGCTCAGATGAAAATAATTAAGACTTATGCACATTACCTTGCCAGGGGGTCATTTATTTTTGCTTTTCCTTGAGCCTCGCGATGCTGTCGCATCAATTCGCGCATGGCGGCTTTGTCAGTAGAGCCTGCCATGATTCGATTTCAGATCTAAATCCACCCTTTCGTATACTAGTACTAGAGGAGCTAAAATTACCAGTATACAGTCCTGAATATGAATATGAGCGAAATGTACAAGCACTCCTCCTACTACTATTCGCAATTCCTGCAGTATTTTCCTTTTTGAAAAAAAATGGTTTGATGGCAGAAATATTTTCAAAATGATCACGTGCGCGATATGAAGCATGCACTGTATGTAGGCAGTGCAGTACGTGTGCTCTGCTCCTCACATTCCTCTTTGCAGTATACAACCCTCCCACAAATGAAATCCCTCAACTGTGTCGTTTGCAGTGGAGAAGCAACTTACGTTACTTTACAGTAATTGAACAGTCGTCACTGCACTCCTGAGATTTTTTACTCTTGTTTTTGTCTCTCAGGCTTATTCACTGTAGTAGTTTGTAGAGCTAGGTCTGTAGTAAGTAGGTCTTTCTCTCTTTTTTTTACCTTGACTATTCAAGCAACACACAAGTCGTGAAGACCGAAGAGTTCGAAATAAATAATAATTTATTTTCCCTCAGTTTGTTCTGGAAACTATTGCTATTAATTTTGTCTGAACTAGTTCTTCAGGCAGCTGAAATTGCATAAAGTATCATCTTCAGCTCTGCCAATTCGTTTTAGTGACCTTGAACTGCGCCTGTTACTCCTTGAGCCCACCGTACGATATGGAAGAAAGGTGTATAGCCTGAATGGTGCCCAATCTGCCCAACATCTCCCAATAGAGAAGCTCATTCATTCCCTAACCGCCGGGGTCAGCTGTCGAGGACTTTCGTGCTTTGCTGGTGAGGAAACGTGTTACTGTGTATGTGTGCGTTATGGGCAGGTGTGTTAGAGAGTTTTGTAGTACCAGGTATTGTTAGTATTAATGTTGACCTTTAGTCTCAGAACTCTTGAAGTTGCACCGTACTCCTTGTACATTGTAACCGTAAGGTGGAGCCAAAACAAAAAGACAACCCAAATTCGGTAAATAGAACAAGAGTATAAATACATGTACTGTGAAAACACAAGGAACATCAAAAAGTTTGTACCAGGGAGGGGGGGGGGGGGGGGGGAGGGAGGAGATGGACTAAATGAAACTCTGGGCTAGATTGCCAAAACAAGAGGATCACAAGTGGCATTCTGCTGCGGCCAGCACAGCGGGATGTCGGCCAAAGCTCGGTTGAACTTCGGTTGAGCGTCATGATAAAGAGACCCTTGACCTGATCCAGACCAGTACGGTGGAATAGGGTTCCTTTCTCTTGTCCGAAAGCATACAGGCAACTCTGTTGTAGAGCGCAGAAGCCGCTTTCCCAAATCCTCCTGAGCCACTGAAGACAAGAGGCACAAATGACGGTTGCTCGATTCGGTCCCGGATTCGCTCCTGATAGCAACTGTATGCTTTCGGACAAGAGAAAAGAACCCTATTCCACCGCACTGGCCTGGATCAGGTCAAGCGTCTCTTTCTCTCGCTCAGCAAATGCTAGCCTCCGTGGACATCGTGCTGCTCAACCGAAGTCCAACTGAGCTTTGGCTGACATTCTCACTGTGCTGGCCGCAGCAGAATGCCACAAGAAACTCTGTTGTAGAGCACAGAAGCCGCTTTCCCGAATCCTCCAGATGCACTCAAGACTACCCGCACAAATGACGCGTGCTCAATTTCCTGGATTCGCTCCTCATGCGAGCGCCTCTTCTCGACTTCGTGTTTTCGGTATGTTGCCGGAAGTGACTGCTGGCGGTTGGAACGTGCATGTGGGTTAAAGGGGAACTCCACAAAAAAATGAAACTTTGATAGCCTGTAGAGTTTCGGGCGCTGAGTCGAATGGTCTTGGTCCGAAGCCTCTACGACGAAGCGTTCTTGAGATATTTCACTTTGAAATTGCAAAAACGGGGGCCGCGCCCTGACGTCATGCGGCCATTTGGTTACATCATCACGGGCTGCCTACGTCATTGTGGCAAAGTCGTTTCTCTTCGCCAATCTACAAGCACTAATTTTAGTTGGTATTTCAAGGGAAGATGGGCGATTCCGAACAATCCTCTGTCCCCAGCAATGAAGGCAGCGATGCTGAGGCCAGTGAGGACGACCAACAGCCCACCGCCGCGTATGGTTGGGGCAGGGAGCCCAGATACTCTGCTGAGGAGCTGCCATCGCGTGTAACAAATGTTGAGGAAGAAGATGCTTCAGCAGCTGCGTCCGACAGAAGACGAGTAGCTTGGCCACCAGAATCTCGATTCGTTTGGGACTCCGACTGGTGCGAGCGTGGACAAAAGTGTATAGCCATGCCCAGCCTGCGGGAATGATTTTGCTGGTAGGATGCTGCCGTCGTTGTCGACAAGACGGCCCAAGGTTTCTTGCGTAGCGGACCTCGCAGATTACGAGATCGTATCCTTGCATTAGGCTGTGCCCATCACTGCTCTTCGAGGTTATCTCGACATGCAGAAGCCGCCAATGCCAGTGACAGAAGAGTCTGACATTAGGTAAGCCTCAATTAGTTTGCCTTGACTTGTCTTGTGAGGAGCGCGTATCAGCATGATACACTTATTCTTATTTTTTTGGGGAAATTTATTGTTGTCAGGCGCACTACAGCAGGCGTCGCACAAGAAAGACATTGTACTGGTAGTTATCACAAGTTTCATGCATGACACAAACAAATTTCTCTTTGCTCCGAGTATGTCTTGACTTATCTTGTGAGGATCGATGCGCGTAATGTTTTGTGTGTAACTTATTGTTGTCAGGCATAGCACGAACAACGTTGTTCTGTACTATAGTGCTATCACAAGTTTTCATGCATGACTCACATTTGTCTTTGTCATTTTCCCTTGGATTGGTACGAGATCTACAAAGTATGGTAGGTAGTGTTCTGTTGGTGAAGAGAGCACTGCACACAGTTTATGAGCACCATGGGTGCATTTGATCACACCCGAACCCATACTTTATCGTTCCAAGCGATAGACTTTGTCAATAAACTCGTTTTCTAGTATACCATGGCATGCAACGTACAAGCGTGGGGTCAAGAAAGTGTACACCAAAATAATGCACAAATTCTGGCAGGAGAGTAAGAAATCTGTACTTTCTGACCAAGACATCTCTGTACTAGTAGGTAATCGAACGCGTCCTAATCAGTATTCATCCCCCAGATCATTGGAATTCAATTTGAAATCAGCAATTATGGTAAATTCTACAAGACCCTCCATCTTTGTACCAGTGGACACTAAATTAGTATGGCGCGCGCACTGAAAGTGCAGGTAGGTACCGGTAGGTGCAATACAGCGCATATGTAGAGTAAATTATTATTTGACAATACTAATTATTACGGTACAGCAATGTGGTATGTGTACAAGCACTCATCATACACATTCCATACGACATTCTGTGTTTGTGTAGATCTCTACGCTATGCGGCACACAGGCAGTACACACTATGTACACGGCAAATTGGGCAAGCACGTTCGTTGTCGTCTTCCAGCCTGCGTTGTGAATACCATCAGGCAAAGATATCCAAATCCTGCACCACCTCAGCCTTCTCAGGAGGCTTCCACCTGGAATTTGGCAGGGAAACACGCTTCTCCAAGGCAGGAACATGGAGGTTGCCATTTGCAACCGCTACCACCTCACACATGAGCTTGTCAACATACTCATAGCTCTTTCTGTCGTATAATTTTCTATTTGGCCACAGTCTTCTTTATGCTTTGAGAACTGGACTTTATACCTTCCTATCGCGGTCTTTTTGGTTGTGCTGTGGCGACGGTTGACATTGACGTCGTCAAGAGCTGCGAGATGTGCGTGTCCAATCATCCCCAGAATTGAGAAACGAATGCGTTTGAGAATGTAGTTTGGCATGACACTGTGATATACCTGCATGGCAAAAAGAATGTGGAGAAAACACACTTGCTTAGACAATATACTGCTGTATGAGAAAATGGAAACTTCACCGTACAGGACGACTCTTGTTCTCAATTGCATTGTTCGTTTCATTCCCTGTGTTGCCCATAAGAGACGGGAGCAAAAATGTTCAGCAGATGTTGTCTTCTGGCGTGGAGTGGCGGCGTCATTAGATGTACACATAGTCATTTCACTAAGTACACCACTACTACAGCATATGTACTATCCTTAGGCTAGCGTGCGTGCGAGTGAGTTTGAGTATGTGGGTGCGTATGTGTGTGTGTGTTGTTGTGTCTGTGTGTGTGCACGCGCGCGCATGTGGGTGAAGGTGTGAGTGCATGTGTATAATGTGTGTAGTCCCCACTGTATTCCTTGCACAATAGGTCTTCACTTACTTTTCTTTCGCATACAACCAGAACCCATTCCTTGTTCGAAATTAGATTTTTTGGCCTGGTGATCCCGCAAGCGTGGAACTCGGAGTGTAATAAATTTTTGTTTCACTTTACTTGCACTATTCCTAGGCTGTCCAGACTTCTAACAACTGCTCTGAGTGATATGGTATTCATGCAACCATGCCTAGAAGTAGGGTAGCTGTTATAAATAGAGACATATCCACGCAATCAACTTACACTGGTTCAGTTTGGCAGGATTGGTGAGACAGTTCGTCGTGCATGCTGCCTGCACATCGCAAGCAAACAGTTCTGTAACCTTCGTACTTGCTGGGGGTCTGTCTGTTTGCGTCCCAGTTGATGACAGATGTGCACAGTTTGAGTACTGGTATGCGCAAAGTTACTGGGGTAATATCGTTCATCAGCTAGCTGCAGTCGGAGTTGATGGTGTGATGTACTCTTCTGATCCTGATGGGACGTATCTCGCCCTGCTTTCTCAGTTGCAGCTTGTTGAGTTCGCTTTGCTGGAGGCTCACGGTTCGGAGGGCACTGGTACACTGATGAGGGCTTTCCTGGACGGCGTACTCGTCAAAACTCAGCTCTCAAGTCCCTCTGGATCATAAATGCAGCGAGCAAACATAGCTCGTGCTGCGAAAATAGGCTTGAAATTTTCACGACGCATTGCAACATCTCGGCGCTTTGCCAGGTCTCCATCCTTTGGGAATCTGAGAAAACTATCCCCAGGAGGATGATGTGATACTGGCACAATCAACAACACAACAATTTGGCATTGCAGCGGCTCAGGCGACTTGGCAAACTACTTTCTGAAGTGACTTTCGTCCTGAAGAAAGTGAGATTCAAAATCCAAGTATTCTCGCACCATGCCACAATGACGTCACACATACATTGGTATGGGGCGTGGCTAAAATTGAAATATCTCAAGAACGCTTTCTCGTAGAGACTTCGGACCAAGACCATTCGACTCAGCGCCCGAAACTCTACAGGCTATCAAAGTTTCATTTTTTCGTGGAGTTCCCCTTTAAAGACGCGAATGTCGAGGAACATCTTCTCAAAACGCCCACCCCATATGCCGGATGCTGCCACGTCCAGGCGAGCGCCATCAGCTGAGATTGCTGTGCGAAGACGCAGGGTCTCACCGGTGAGTGGTTGCAGGGAAGGTTCAGTGCTCACATCATGGGCCACATCTTTCAGGAGGGATGCTGTTACTAGTTAGATCACGGAGGGCATTGTGACACATGGAGGGGTTGCCCCGATGGGACAGGACAAAGCGTGTTCTGCTGTGAAGGAAGCACCGCATGCGCAGGTTGAGGGCAGTCCAGATGGGGTCCAACCATAGCGCAAGTGAAGTGCGTCGCTGAAAACTTGCCTGGGGAGGACGAAACCGTAGCGACGAAGCGGCAGGTAAGCCAACTAGAGGCTCCCTTCTCTGAAGCCAGCTCCAGCACCCGAAGCATGGCAGGAGGGCCGCTATCCTTGATGAATTTGGCATGGTCCATGCGTCCACGGCGGGCCTGGGATGAAGTGTCTGCCTTTGCTTTTCTGGTGTTGTGCGAGATGCCGTCGAGGGATTGATCCTGAAGCAAGATACGCTCTACGAGTGCTTGGGTGATGGCTTTAGAATCACGATGCTGGGCTGACAGGGAGGTCGGGATGATGAGCCCTAAACCTCCGTCTCGGCAGGGTAGAGCGAGAATGGACCTTTCAAGATCACCTGGAGGGGTCGGTTGGTGATGGCTAGAATGAGAGAGAGAGAGAGAGAAGAGAGAAGTTTGTGCGGATCTTGTCCTCCAAGGAATCAAGCAAGTGCGCGATGTCGGGCACGGTTCGAGCAATGAAGGCCCATTTGTGCCGCAGGCCCTGTCCAAATGCCACCTCTTTTGATTTTAATCATTTACTCTTTTACTGCCTTCTACTGCACTTTAATAAACATAGCACTTGTTGCGCTTGTTGATACGAGTATTTCAAAGTACAGTCGACTCCTGATATGCTGAACGCCATTGTGCAGGAGTATCCCGTAGTGTTTTGTATTAAAGCCTGTCTCGTATAGAAGCCTGATTTTAAAGATACACTGTCGGCACGTAAGCCTGGTTTTAGTGTTGGCATACATAGAAATACCTGTCTTGTATAGAAGCCTGTCTCATGTAGAAGCCTGCAAAAATTCACCAAAAATTCATATAAGCAGCGGCCTTTATGTGAAATGCATTCACACCATACAACTTACAAGCAACACGTCATTACTGGCGTGTGGCCCATGACTGTATGAGTGCACTTGGTTTACACGCGGTCCTACAAGATCATGGTTTGTTATGAATGAAAACGGTTCACTACAAAGGGTCGATTTTGTATGGGTTCAAACAGGGACATGGACAATGGTTCGCTATATTATCATGAACGTAGAAGAAGAAAAAAGTATCATAGCTCTGCAGTTGTTCCTTTTCGTGGATGTAGCTTTTTTTTAAGTGTTGTGCTCTGGACCTCTTTTTCTTTGTATTTTCTCTTCTTCTGTGCTTTTCCAGGGTGGGAATTAGTGCCAGCTTAGTCATGGATCTCAAGTACCTATCGCTGATAGTTCTGGTTCTGCAGACGACTGCATTGGTGCTGCTGATGCGCTACTCGCGTGCAGTCGGTACCGGGCCCATGTACTTAGCTTCAACTGCCGTTGTGATGGCTGAGGTATGCTGCTATTACTAGTACAGCAAACATGTTGATAAATGTTTGCCACGTTTATGAATCTCCGTCTATCTTATAGTATCTATCTATTCGTCTCTTTGAATAGATTTTTGTTGGAGGAAAACAAGCAAGCACATGAAGCACGGAAGCCACTGGACATTTTGACGAGGCCTTTCAAACTGTTACTCTTCAAAGCGGGTACAATGGTGATAACGACGAACAGCAAACAAGTCCTTTTGTCTAGCTTTAGGCGGTCGAATGGGTGACGAAAATTGGCGCCTTAGAGAGCGTGAGTGGCATCAGCTACGTAGTAAAACCATCAAACCATCAATACAGAGCATAATCTCCACCATCAATACAGAGCATAATCTCAATCATCAATACAGAGCATAACCTCAACCATCAATACAGAGCATAGTCTCAACCATCAATACAGAGCATAATCTCAACCATCAATACAGAGCAGTCTCAACCATCAATACAGAGCGTAGTCTCAACCATCAATACAGAGCATAATCTCAACCATCAATACGGAGCATAACCTCAACCATCAATACAGAGCATAATCTCAACTATCAATACAGAGCATAATCTCAACCATCAATACTGTTTATACAGAGCATAATCTCAAACAACAGTTGCAACTAGGGCACAACATGAAAACTTTCACACCGACTTCTTCTGCACACTCACAGTTCAGGTTTCAGCTTGGCATTCTACGCCACCGCCTTCAGCACAACCAGGTGAGATTTGTTGTGTGCACACACTTGGATGTGGATGTTGGTTTGTGAACTGAACTCAAGCAAGCCGGTAATGATTTCAGGTGATGGTATATTGCTGAATCCGTCTGGTCCGTTCGTACAGTTGCTACTGTGTGGTACAGTTAAGTCGTCGGCGACTTCTCTGTCGGGCGTGGAGTCACACACTGTTCCAGGCGTGGAGTCACACGCTGTTCCAGGCGTGGAGTCACACGCTGTTCCAGGCGGCGACCCTGCAGTAGCTGCTCACTTCACCTTGTGACAGAGTGTTGTTGTTTTGATTGATTTGATAGATATAAGGACTTGTGTGCTGTTGCGCGTTTCACCATTCTACCCACTTTGAAGAGTGAAACTAAAAAGTAAAGTATCGTGTCCGTTCCTGAAGGGAACTCACGACGGCCGCTAACACCCGGTAAACCCTAGCGGCAGATGCAGCGCCTAACGGTGGGGATGAGGGGATAAGTCTTACAACCACTGGCACAAGCGCCGAGAAACCCGATTAGCCGCATCCATGTACCCCTTGTGCCTGGCCACAAGTTCCCAGTTGACTGTGGGTAGCAGCACGGCTGGAAAAACTTTGAAGAGTAGTGGTGCAAAAGGCGTTGTTGAAGTGTCCAGTGCCTTCTTTACTCTGTGTACTCAGCTATCTCTTTATATCCATCTATCTATCTGATGCGACATGCTACGTGTCTGAACGGCATCACTGTAGAATTTAGTATCAACATTGATGGTAACAACAACGACAACGACGACAACAGCAGACGACAACAGCAGCAGCAGCAGCAGAATGAAAGATTCCAAACCATGTAGGAAAGGATTTATAGATGTACCGCGTGCAGGTGTTATCCGGGTAGTTCACGTTTGTGTTGCTGTTTTGTGTTGCTTATTATTTAGGTGTTCAAACTTGTCTCCAGCCTCCTACTATTCTGGTGGGAGCTGGCACGCGAAAGTTATCGATTCCACAGCCCGATCGTGTTCTTGACTCACTTGAGGACAGTGCTGTTCAGCCAGCCATTCGAACTGCTGAAGCTGGCCGTTCCTGCCCTGCTGTACACCATTCAAAACAACCTGCTCTACGTAGCGCTGTCCAACCTAGATGCCGCTACCTATCAGGTGAGCAATGTACCCACTGTAGGAACTAGAAATGTTGCCAGAAATGCTTGCAAGGGTCGCTTAGGCCGCGGTCACACCGAGCTCGATTCAGCCGTTCAGCCGAAACAAGCGCTTGTTTACGTCACTATTACCATGGAAATGGCTGAAAAATGTCCTACAAGCGACTTTCAGCCGTGGCTGACTCTCAGCCGTTTTTTTTCCGGCTTGTTTCAGCCACAGCTTGTACAAGCGGCTGAAAGCCGAAATTCAAAAAATAATTTGAGTGCGCTTGGAGCTCCGGAGCACACCATGTTGACATGATGAACTGATATTGATGTTCTTTCTTGTGTCCGTGAAACCGTGCTATCCCTGTGCCTTTGGTTTTGACCGTGAGTCTGTCTACCCCAACTACACTGTATTCAGTTTGATTTGGATTTTGTCCGACGACCATGGATTTCTGCCGCTGTGCCTCTAGACTGCTGCGTAGATTGTTGGAGCTGTGGTTTGAGGCCAAGACAAGGCACCACACTCACGACCGAATTCATGAAGAAAGCCGGGTACAAAGAAGAGAGTGGATTGCAACTGAGTTCAATAACGGCAACCGGCGGGGCAGAAAGCTCGACATCAGGAAACACCACCCGAACCATCGCGTCCATGCACACCGAACAAATAAAAAGAGCACGACTTCGCAATTCAGAATCCGGGCTTCCTTTGCTTCTTCATCAAAACTGAACACTAGAACAAGTACAGTTTTAGATCGCGAACGTTCTGTTCTCCAGTTTCTTGCAAACATTGGTGTGTTTCGAGATATTCAAAATTTGGCGGGTAAGAAAAACAAGTCATTCAAGCTTTGCACTCAAGGTCTGGTGTGACCGCGTCACAGGGATCACGCAAGCCAGCTGAGCGCCAGCGATAACAAGCCCAAAGTGGCTTGTTTCGGTGTGACCGGGGCCTTACAAGGTTGGCCAGTACTGCTGCTCAAGTGCTCGGGCCGTCTACTCACATTGTTCATTTTATTCGCGTCTTGTGCATGCTCCTCTATTGAGTATCGTGTGCTGAGCTGCCTCCAATCGAGACGAAGAGCAGCAGACAGTACCTCGTAGATGTAGCAATTTGTTGACTGCTGGCTTGTGACTGTTACCTACATTTCCCACTGTGTGCATGGCAACGCGTCGACATCAGTTGCCAGCCATCTTATGCAGCAGGCTAGACAGTGTATGCTCTTGTGTCCCCATATAAGGTTAGACTGTTGTCGAGCATTGCTCTTGGCGCTGTGTGTGATCGTTCCCCGTATTTGATGTGTTTCTTGTTGTTTTTTTGATTATTATTTTTTTGAAATCTTTTATTCTCATGATGGCCTGTGGCCAATAAGAGAATTGTTTTTGTCCTTGTTGTTCTTGTTCTTGAATTCTTTATTCTCACGATGGCACCATCGCCAATAAGTGTGTTGTTGTTTTTGCTGTTGCTGTTGTGTCCTGTTTTCTGCGGCAGGTCACGTATCAGCTGAAAATCATGACCACGGCTATATTCTCTGTCCTTATGCTTGGCAAGCAACTGGACGTCAAGAAATGGACGGCATTAGTTATGCTGATGTTTGGTGTCGCATGTGTACAGGTAAGAGAATGTGCCTTGCCTGGTGGATAGATAGCATTCAGGCCAGCATATGTGCCAGAGTGCAGCAAGCCCTATCGGCCGTGTGCTAGTACTGTGTTTCCCCAAGTATAGGTCTCGCCGTTTGTTTACAATAACCGAAATTCGTGGGATGGGATGCGACTCACCATCAAGTGTAACTTGTCACTCAAATGAACACACTGAAACTATTCGGCAGACGGCCTAATAAATAGAGTTAAAACTTACTTGTTTGGGGAAATCCGATGGTTGTAGTCCAGAACAGTAATCACATCTTTCGAAGCATGTCCTCCTTGCCCGTCATCTTGCTTTATACATTTTTACTGAAGAAAGTGTATAGGACAGGAGTTAGCAACTTTCAGTTCTTACAAACAGTAAGTGAAGACAATGATTGTACTAGATACTAGATGTGGGGAGCACCTTTCCAATGGTTGTACTAGTACCATAAAGTGCCGTAGATCCCGATCCCCCCCGCCCGCGCTTTGTCGCTTCCCAGTTGGATTTTCGGCATGGGGCGGGGAATTAGATCGCGGCTGGCAAGTGCAGTACTGTGTACCGCAACACAAAAGATCAGACTTGCCATGCTGGATTGTGCACGACATCATGCAAAGGCATACCTGCAATGGCACGTATTGGATATATAGCACGGCATGCGTCTGTTCAACACTGTAGTTCGACGCATACACACAGGTCGTTTCAAAGGCACTTGTAGAAATTGTATAGGCGGCAGGCATTAGAGGGACTGGATCAACGGTACTTTGCGGTTCTACTTTTGAAATCTTGGCTGAAATTCCAAATCCTGCATCCACATTTAAAGTTATTTTCGTGAGAATGGTTGAGTGCACATCATCTCTGCAGCACATCATGTTTGCTGGGATGTTGGCCGCGTGTCAACTGCACCACTCTTCTTGTACACTGAACTATTCTCGTTACGCCATTTGGATTCTGTGTGTGTGCGTGCATGTGTGGACACATGTATGCACGTGTGTGTGCGTGTGTGTGTGTGTGCGCGTGTGTGCTGCCGTCCAGATGCCATCCTCGTCCTCGAAGTCGTATTCTGCCACTCACACGGTCGTCGGTAGCTCAGTAGTGGGTCTGGTAGCAGTGCTGTCCGCTTGCTGTTCGTCCGGCTTTGCCGGCGTCTATTTTGAGAAAATCCTAAAGGGAACCAAGCCATCGCTGTGGTTGCGTAACTTTCAACTAGGTGAGTTGCTTGGCGTTCTCGTCTCTCTGCCAAGTAGACGATGGTCATCTTGACTTTGGACTTTCCTTGTACAGGGATGTTATACTGGAAGTGAAGTTCATAGCACTTTCTCAAAGCTTTTAATGTAACGTTATACATGCACAAAGTGATTCAGTTTGTGTTCAGACTTGCATGACTCCACTGCACCTCAAGTCTCAACTCTGGACTTCAGCTACCTTTTTGCTATTGATGTCTGTACACCTTCGTACATGCATGCCCAGTGTCATCTGCTATTAGCCTATTTCCATGATCGATTGTTATACTGGACAGCACAGGCCCATCCGTGCCCACGTCGACGTCTACCCTGTCTGCAATATAATTCCGTACGAAAACGTCAGACTCCGTGCTTGCTACAGCTGAGACCATAGCCTGGACACGAGTTACTTGAGTAGTCGATCGGTACGACAAAACGAGTGAATAATCTATAAAAGTTGAGCCATCGATTTGCATCAGCTGCCCATTTTTGATGGGAACTTAGCCTGGCTTAGCGGCGTTTCAACACTTCCTGACACTGCTGATCCAAGAAATACCGATAGCTGTCTCTATTGTCAGCATTCTTGACTGGCAATAGATCCAACATGTCTCGTTGCTAGTGTACATGTACAGTGTCGCTGAAACATGTTATCTCTATTCTATTTGCTCGTACAGTGGAACCTGTGTAAGACGACCGCTCCAGGGACCTTCAAAGTGTAGTCTCTGTTACCAAGTGGTCTTCTTATCCAGGGTCATTTGACTGGAAATAGCATCCCTTGGCCTTGGTCCTGGATGCAGTGGTCTTCTGGGATAGGTGGTCGTCTTATCCGAGCGGTCGCCCTGACAGGTTTTACTGTTCTTGAAGTATGTGTGCATCCTCATTATTAAAATTTTGTTGGCTTTGTGTGTGTGTTTATGCTTGTTTGAATGCTTGCCACTGGCAGCGTTTTTTAGTATCTTGTTAGGATTCGGTGGAGTGGTTCTGGACAGAAAGGTGGTATTGTCAGAAGGATTCTTCCACGGATATAGTCCTCTCGTGTGGACAGTTGTTATTTTGCAGGTGAGTTTGAAACAAAAAGTAAATGATGTGCCGCCTGTGGTCTAATGTCCAACTATTGAGCCGATCAAAGGGCAAGTTCATGGGTCAATGTTAAAAAAAAAACCAGTCAAAAATGTCTTGTATCTCCAATCTTTCCCTCCTCCTCCCCCCTCGTAACAGAGCAGCGGTTGTTCTTGTTCAACTAGAATCATTTGACTGCAAATGATGTGTAGATTTCAGCCAGATTACGGAAGACTTTGTGTAAGGCCGTCGGTAGTGCGAACTGATCATTGTCCACATTTTTTTCCTTTTTCTTTTTGATGTCTAGGTTGTGTAAACGGTGTACTACGTGATCTACTTCAAAATTTTGCAGTTTGTCCATTCCTGTCATCAGAGCTGCAACACTTTGTTCTTGTGCCCCTTGTGTGTGCGTGACTGTTCATAATATATGTGTGTATGTTTGTGTGTGTGTGTGTGTGTGTGTGTGTGTGTGTGTGTGTGTGTGTGTGTGTGCGTGTGCGTGCGTGTGTATGTGTGCGTGCGTGTGTGTGTGCGTGTGTTGCTGCTCACATAGGGTATTGGTGGTCTAGTTGTGGCGGCAGTGATCAAGTACGCCGACAACATTCTAAAAGGCTTCGCCACATCTGTTTCCCTGATCTTTTCTGCGGTCATCTCGTTCATCTTCCTCGATGATCTGGAGCTGACAAGGTACGGTTACACACATATTATTATTTATTATTAATTTAGGGGTGAGACAATTATACCGAGTACTCGAGTACTCGCTCGGTTTTTTCAAAAATAATCGTACTCGGAATAAATCAGAGTACTCGCTCGGTTTTTTCAAAAATAATCGTACTCGGAATAAATCAGAGTACTCGTTCATACATGGTGCATGCATTTATCACAGAAATCTGCAGTTTCAGAGCAGCAGTCGGCGGATATTGAGGTGCAGACTGTGTGGTGAACATTTGTTTACGAGTAGAGAGAGCCCAAATGACCCACGAACCGATATACCCGAGAAAAATGACTGCTACTCGGTTCAATCAGGGTTGTACTAAGGCCCTTGGTGTGCAATTTTTAGGAGATGAAGAATACTCGAATATTCGATCGGAGAAAATCAGAGTACTCGAACTCGGGATCTCAGTGCAACCTTTCACCCCTAATTATTATAGTCTTTTCCGCATTGGCATCGCCAAGCAAGCTTGGCTAGCCTTCGCATAAGCTGCTCCATGATGAGACGAAACAATGAATGCATGTACATACGATCTAGGACAGAACCAACATACATGTGTCATGCCGGACATACACTATACCGATCTCAAGGCTACAACATATACATTCGCATTGCCGTAGTAACCCCACCAGGTCATCAACCAATATAGTTGATCCAAGTATCCATTCAGCCACACACGCTCACCTTGGTCATTCGAATAAGGTTGAGAGTAACTGTGATTCCAAGCTCGATTCAAGAGTGAAGGTCAAAGGAAGGTTGGTACTTTTGATCAGAAGCAGCAGGAGTTATATCGAGAACAAAAAGGATCGAGTTAGACAAAGGCGTAGCAAAGGCGGGAAAAACCAACCAATCAGACCATAGAGAGCTTGTTGCTATGCAGAATTGACCAATGGGAGAAGACAAGGAGAAATGCGTATTATTTATGAATTAACTAAACAGCCAGCGTATACGATAAGACAGCAGATACAACATCCCGGGGCCCATGCATTGATAAAAGTGACAGTAGATACAAAAGACAACTGCCGTACAAACGCGCGCTCATGAGGGGAACACGTTCACCCAACATGTAAACTAGTACCGGCAGAGTCGTTAGTTCGTCGTACAACCTGGGGAAGTTTGTCGTACAGCCCGGGAGAACCCGTCAGCTGCCGAGGCCGATATGACATCTCCCCGGCCTTCTGGGAGATTGCGTCCCGCAATCATTAGTCTTACTCCAGTCGTTGGGGTGGTCTCCTTCTTCGAACTGGACGGTTGACACCAGCCGATGCTACTGCAGTGTTAGCGGGAAGCAACTGTACTCCTTGAACTGGATGGTTGACATCAGCCGGTGCTACTGCAGCGTCAATGGGAAGTAGCTGTACTCCTCCAAACTGCTCGTCACGGCCACCTGCTCTTTCCGCATACAACAAGTCTGTGGTATCAGGCGTGTAGGAGTTCTGTTGTGGTGACGCAGTTCTGATCGGGTTCAATTTCCCATCATTCGACGCTTCCTCGCGTACAACCGTAGCGAGATGTGTTGGGCGTACACGACACTTCTTCAAGCGATTCACGTGCACAACTTGACATGTAGCCGAGTCTGATCCCATATCACGGACGCGATACACAACATCAGACAACCGGTTCAAAACCTTGAACGGTCCCTTCCATAATTTGAATTAATTTCGCCAACTTGGTGCTGGTTCCAACCGGAACAGCGGGTACCAAGAGCCATACCAGACTTCCTTCCGCGAATTCCACCGACACAGCCCTATGATCATAGAGATGCGCCTGATGTCGATGCACTGCACCGAGCTTGTGCCTCACAATCGTGTGCACATCCGCCAAACAGGACCGCAATTGACGCACATACGTAGGTTCATCCAACTGTTCAGCTGGCGGTAAACCATACGCAACATCTTGCGGGAGACAGAACTCTCTGCCGAAGGGGAGATACGCCGGCGTGTACCCTGTGCTGGCTTGGGTGGTAGCCCGATACGCCATTAATGCTGCGGGTAATTGGACATCCCAATCACGCTGGTCTCTCTGAACATAGTGTGAGAGCAATCGCTCTAACGTCTGGTTAAACCTCTCTACCAATCCGTCACCCGACGGATGGTAAGCCGTTGTCCACGTTTTCTTGATACCAAGCAAGCCGCAAACGTTCTTGAACAGTTTCGAATCAAAGTTTGCACCTTGATCCGTATGCAAGCTATCCGGTGCTCCAAATCTGGACACGAATTCGCTCACAAATACCGATGCAACAGTCGCTGCATCCATTCGTTTCAACGGATACCCCTCTACCCACTTCGTGAAGTAGTCCACAACGACCAAAATGTGACGATTTCCACCTGAAGTCTCAGGCAGTCCTGGAATCAAATCCATAGCCACACGTTTGAAGGGATACCCCGCCCAGGACACCTGTAAGGGTGCCCCTTGTCCTCGACCAACCGGTCGGGAGCGTCGACAACATGACGTGCACGTGCCGATCCAATCTTCAACGTCACGACTCATTCCATGCCAATAGAACCGAGTGCGAAGCTGGGCAATCGTCCGCTTCATACCCACATGACCAAGGAAATCGTGATATTCCTTCAGAATTTCGGTCCGCAGATCAACTGGGATCAAAATCTGAAAACGGTTCAGCGCTGAAATCTCAGGCTCAACCCATTCCCTTCTAATCACTCCGCCCTTTACAGAAAGATGCTGGCGTCCCCGCCAGTACTTCCTCAAAGTCGGACTGATTCCGGTCAAGTCAGCCGACTCGCCGTCATCCATTAGCCACTCAAAAAGCTGCCTGAGGTCAGGATCAGCTTGCTGGGCAATCGCCCAGGTCCCATATGTCCAGTCCCTTCGCTGAACCAAGGGTCCAGGAACGGTAGGAGCCACCTCTGTAACATTCATCACAGGTTTGGTCTTCTGTCTGGACACGCCATCTGCGTTCGAATGAGCCTTGCCCTTTCGATATTGCAGATCATACTCGAATTGACTGAGGAACTCCAACCACCTGGCGACAATCGGCGCTGGTTCTTTGAAGTTGTCCAAATGCTGCAATGCCTTGTGATCCGAGCGGACCAAGAAGCGCTTGCCGAGCAGGTAACACCTGAAGTGATTAAACGCCCAAACTACACCCAGCAATTCGCTTTTGGTAGAAGCGTACCTGCGTTCCGATGCAGATGTCAATCGACTAGCAAAGGCAATCGGTCGTTCGACCCCCTTCTCATCTTGCTGTGACAAAACAGCACCCAATCCCGTACCACTGGCGTCAACATCCAGAATGAACCTCGGAGCATCAGGTCCATATTGTGGATATGCCAGGGTTGGTGAAGAAGTCAACCGACTCTTCAACGTAGCAAATGCCTCTTCACACTCCTCGGTCCATACGAACGCATGGCCTTGTTTAGTCAACTGAGTGAGGGGTTTAGCAGCATCCGAGAAGTTCGGTACGAACCTTCGATTGTAGCCACAGAACCCCAAAAATGCCCGAATTTCCGCTACATTCGTAGGGTGCTCCCACGTAGCCACGCGGTGAGTCTTTGCCTCATCAGTGCTCACACCCTCTTCCGAGACCACATGGCCCAGAAAATCCACCCTCGTACGCAGCAAGAAGCATTTGGATGGTTTTAGACGCAAACCTGCGTCCAATAGCCGTTCAAACACCGCCTCGAGTCGCTCTAAGTGTTCGTCTAAAGTCTTTGCAAACACAATCACATCATCGAGATACACGAGGCAAATCTGCCACTGTAACCCACGCAAGACATCACTCATAAGTCTCTGGAACGAGCTTGGACCGTTACACACACCAAACGGCATGACTGTAAACTGGTAGTGCCCATCTGGAGTGGAGAAACCCGTTTTCTCCTTGTCTTCTTCTGCCATAGGCAGCTGATGATAGCCGGAACACAAATCCAAGGTGGAAAAGTACTTCGCGCCACTCAGCGCGTCCAACGTATCATCAATCCGTGGGAGAGGATATGGATCCCGCTCCGTAACGGCATTCAATTTGCGATAATCAACGCAAAATCGAGTTGAGCCATCCTTCTTCTTAACCAGCACTATTGGCGAAGACCAAGGACTAGTAGAATCCTCTACCACCCCTTGAGTTCCAAGGCAATCGCCTTGGAGCCTGGAAGATAGGACTTCTTCCTTTGGTGTTAATGTTGTAGTGTTGCACAGTCGTGCGACCCAATTCAGCAGAGTTCATCACGAATACCATCCGGTAGCGACAGACGAGATCACGCAAGCGTGCCAATTCCTCAATCCCAATTGACCCTTGCCCACCAGGCTGAACACGAGACGTCTCCCGGTTCGCCTCCGCTGTGCCCTCACCAGGTTCATAACCGAGCTGCAGCTCGTCATCCCCCGACACAGACTTCCCACTCACAGGACCTTCTAGTCCAATGTTGAGCGCCTACCATAAGTCTTCGGAACTTCCCGAATCCCCCGTGGATTCCATTCCTATATGATCGCAATCATCCTCGTCTTCGCCCATGATACTCATCACGGCTGAAATAGGTAGCAGCTGTCCCACTCGGGCACCTCTTCCTAAAGATACTGACTCCTCTGAGCAGTTCAATACCCGAACGGGTACACCTTCATCTGTTGGACAAACAACCGCTCGTGCCAACAAAACATCCCCACCATCGATCAGACAGCCCGTCTGGTTCGGTGATGCCACATGAAGGAACATCCTCCTTGTTCTCGATAACGGCAGCCACCGTCATCTCACAATATGGAGGTATAACTACCCTATTCTTCAACCGAAGATTATGGCAGCGTTGTGATGTTCCCACCGTTGAAACTTCAGCCTTATCAGCCTTGAAGTTCAATTTCCCATCATTCGACGTGATCTCGCAAGGTATCTGCGATAGTACATCCCTCCCAATCAGGCAATGATACCGCAACCCTCGAATCACCTTCATCTCATGGACATAAATAGCATCCTGTATTGCCAAACATGCAGCGATCGTGCCACACACATGCAACATCTGACCATCCG